CGAACAACAGCATCAACAACAAGAGGCAGCAATCACCATGAACGGGAGAAATCTAAAGGAAGTTGTCTCTTTCACCTACCTTGGCAAGGCAGCATGGTTTCAACTACATTGAGCACAGATGAGGATATCAAAGCCAGGATCGGAAAGACAGCAAGGGAGGCCTTCGTTCATCAATGTGAAATCAGTGTGTAGATCTACTGCACTCCACCCAGCATAAAGCGTGAACAAGATCCGAATTTTCAAGACTAATTGAGTCAAGTAAGCCAGTGCTTGTATGTGATGGTGGTTGAGAGACTTGAGGCAATACGAAAAGCATTTCCAACAAACTACAGACATTGATGAACAGCTGCCACCTACGCTCACTCGATACTGAAGATCAGATCAGAAGGCCAGAAAGAATGAGCAACATTGAACTCTTGCTGGCAACGAACCAGCGAAGCAAGAACCTATTACCCAACAAATGTGTAGAAGGAAGTGGAGATGTATTGTATTGGACATGGACATGGACTGAGAAGACCATTTGGGGCCATGATGCTTCAGGCCAGACCGTCGAGTGGAACGGAAATGAGAAACGATGATTTGTGTGTTGGAGGCGAGAGTGATCGGAGGAGGAGATGGTGTGAGACAGAAATGAAAGCTTGTTGGCAGTGGTGGGTCCAGGTTGGAAAGAGTGCAGAGAAGAGAGTGAAATGGTGACGTTGTAGTGAAGCCCTGTGTTCCACTAAGAACCCAAAGGTCAAATAATAAATAATAATATATGCTGCATCAGTTTTCGTCTCCCGCGATTTCCTTGACGTCATACGTGTTCTCCTTCGTTGATAGCTATGCATCTTATCACAGAAACTCTTTTAGAATCAGCATGCAACCCGGCATGTTGCTGTGTATCAGTTCCACTTACCTCACCTCACATAAAGACGAAAGATGAAGAAATAGAAATAATATTATCGAAAATTGTGGGGATCATGAGGGTTCAGAAAATAATGAATTGTGAAGTGGCGACTAAAATAAAGATGAATCGTAAGTTCTACTGTACACTTTTGGTTTAATCTCAATCATATGTGTACCACCTGCCTTATCGAAGAAGTGTTTTAATCCAAAGTTGTCATGGATGTCTGTAATGTTGCCAACTGTGGGGCATTGATTTCACTCACATTTTTTGAAGATACTGTTCGAATCTATCTTTTTTTCCCCACTAAAGTGCTTGAAGTTAAAAGTAGTATTTATTAGCTTTTGACACGTAATCATTAAGGTTCATAGGAAGTGTTTGCTGCCAGCGAATGTAAACCAGATCAATACCTTGGTAAACATCGTCATTTTAGGCTAACTCAACTATTAATATAAGCGAAAAACTTGGGCACTGTGGTAGAATGTAATTCCATATTAGATTTGTTTATTTGATATATAGCGCACAGTGATATAGTATTATTTACTTGATTACGTTTCGAGCATAAATTATTGCTCATAATCATACCAATGTGATTATGAGCAATAATTTATGCTATATATATTTGCGCTATATATCAAATAAACAAATATAATATGGAATAACTCAACCATTGTAGAATTCTGTACGGCATGACATTGGATAAACTTGTTGAAACTGGTAACACGTTAAAATGATGCATGAAAAACAGCATATCAAAGGAGAAATTGTCAGCTTTAAACCATTCCGATAACATTTACAATTGCGCCAGTTATGCAGTTTGTATGGTCTATTATGCTTGATTTCATGAATTTATAGTGCTCTAGTCTATCATGTATAGGAATTTGCAAACATAACTCAATCCTTATCAGTTGAGATTTCAGTGGTAGTTGAGCGTTTATCATGTCTGTAAGTGACACACTTCGAGATTTATCAGCTGATTTTCTTGCCTAAATAAACCATAGCTGTGTAAAGTAACTGTCTTGATCACCATAATTACTACAACAGATAGTTAATGTGAGAAATGAAATACTATCATAGGACTAAAACAAACGGCAATTGATCAACTAATTTCCGATCTCATTTATCAGCGTGTCCATTTTGCTAGTCATGATTTAGGATTGTATTCTATTCCTCACTATATTTTTTTGAGATTCACTGTACATTTTCATCTGAAGGCTGTCCTTAAATTATTTTGAAACGACCTTCAAAGCAACTAAGATTTCTGGCTGATTTAATTCTCAAATAAGGCATTGTAATAATCCATTATAATATGGAATACTTAAGTGGCTTTTTCTGTACTCTATCTGCTTGAACGAATCTGTCAGAAATACGAACGACTGTGACACACGTATTGACATCTATTTTTTAGTCATAACACTTTGAACAACAACTCAACTCGCCTACAGTCACTCTTCAGTTGCTCTACATCAAGTTCGTACCTGAATATGAAGCAGGTATCAGTCCTCTGACTGTCTCCAGAGTTGGGAATTATTATTATTATTTATCCCTTGGATTCCTAATGGAACATAGGGCTTCAGTAGCACGTCTCCAGTGAACTCTGTTCTCTGAAATCTTTTGAACCTGGCTCCACGACAGCCCACAAGCTCTCATTTCCTTCTCGCACGATCTCCTCCATGTCACCCTCATCTGGGACGCCCAACTCGTCGCTTCCCATCGGGATTCCACTTGAGGGACTGGCCTGACGTGTGATATCCCCAGTCGGCCTTCTCAGTGTATGCCCAATCCATCTCCACTTCCTTCTGCATATTTGTTGAGTGATAGGTTCTTGGTTGGTTCGTTGGCAGGCCAGAGTTCCTTGTTACTTATTCTTTCTGGCAATCCATCTAATCTTCAGTATCAGTATCGAGTGAGCGTAGACGGTAGCTGTTGATGAATGTCTGTAGTTTATTGGAAATGCCTTTCGTAACGCGCCAAGTCTCTGAACCATACAGAAGCACTGATTTGACGTTGGTGTAGAAAATTTGGATCTTGTTCCACATGCTGAGTGGGGAAGATCTCCACATTGGTTTCAGGCTAATGAACGCCTGTCTTGCTTTTCCGATTCTGACTTTGACATCCTCGTCTGTGCCTGTGCCGCTACCTGTAGTTGAAACAGTGCTGCCTGCCTAGATAGGTGAAGGAGGTTACTTCCTTTAAGTTTCTCCCGTTGATGGTGATTGAAGTTTGTTGTTGATGGAGTTGTTGGTGCGGTATCTGCATCACTTCTGTCTTCTCTATATTCACTTGAAGTCCCGTTTTCGCTGCCCTACCTCTTCTGTCAACCTGTTAGTTTTCGCCTGTAGATCTTCAAGTTTGTGTGACATCAGACACAAGTCATCGACGAAATCCAGATCTAGGTTCTTTTCAACAGTCTAGTGTATCCCCCTGTTTTCGCTCCCCACTGTTTGTTGCATGATCCAGTCCAGTCGACCACAATCAGAAATATCCTGGCCAACGTTGAGAAGGCTGTTCCAAACCTAAAACGATACAAAGCAACAGGAGAACCGTTTGCCACCACAGCGTTTCAAGCATGGACGCAGAAAATTATTGAGTAAATTAGCAAGTGTCATCTGGTATATGGGAATCAAAGGTAGTCCCGTCAGGCCGGTTTAAATTGTTAGTTATTTCAATTTCTTAGAAATGACACGAATCTTTCTTAGACAAACACAGAAGAATCGCTTTGATTATCACCATTTCCAAGATCCTAGAGTTCTTAGTTATTCGACATCTAAGTGGAGCGCAAAAACAGCCAACTCGAGAAAATTAGACAATTTTCAAACCAATACTAAGGTGCATCGATCGAATCTTCAACCCTCAACTCGTTCTAAAAACAGAGCCATGCTCCCTGGTAGTCCAACTTGCAACATTTCTTGATTTAAAGGCGGCATTCGACTCTGTCGATCCATAGGTGCTGTGGCAGTGTCACACTGTGAACAGTATCGAGCAGATACGTATTTCTAATCACTACTCTCTACTTGGACTCACGCAGCCATCCAGGCCCTTACGGATATATGTCATTTGAAGTAATGAAAATCAAAAGTGTCCGCCAAAGTTGCTCACTGTCACTTTTATTGTTCAACTCTTTAACACATGTCTTTATGCTTGTGACCCTGTGTACCTCCGACGCATGTTTCGATGTATTGCTCAGAAGTTATCTGATCAATTTTGAGCACTCAAATGATGGTTGCATTGCAAGGTAATACAGTCTTCTTCTTCTTCTTCTTCTTGAAAATCTGACTTATATTAGGCCTGTGTTTCACATATATCAAACGTAAATTATGCTTCCTTTATTTTCTCACTTCTCCACATTTAAAGAAGGTCAGGCAATTTATGGAACTGTAAGCATTCAGCGACCGAGGTGGATTGGACATGTCCTGCGCACACCAAACCTCCACCTATCTCAACACGTGGTGTTATTCGAAGTAAGGTTGTGTTGGAAGAAGACTAAGCGTCTTCAGACTAAGATATGATATCAGTTCTGTCCGTTGGCCTGGGCCCTGTAGACTGCCTTGAAACGATAGGAATCAGTCTTTATAGATTCTGGTTGTATAACTGGAAATCGCTCACAATGATGCAAATGTACATACTCTTTTATATCTTCCTAGTCTTGAATATTCTCATAGATCTTCATCTGTTTATCCCTTCTCCCTTCCTACAACTTTTGCCCAATTTAATGTCATTCTTTATTCGTTCATCTTTTTTTCGCATATTGCTGTGAAGTAGAGTGATTTGAACTGATGCTTTTCTGTTCCACGACCTGTATTTTTCTTTTTCCTGTTGCTTACCTTACATATTTGAAATCAGGTCAAAGAAATTTCTGATATCGGGAATATATACATACACGAAGCTGCTTATTGGAATTTTTTTTCAAAAAATGAACAGAAGAATAAATCTAGCAAAAGTGTTGCCATATTCATTTTTGTTTTTAGTTCTGGTTCTCCTTACAAGTTGTTGCCATTTACAAATATATTTACTTGATTTTTCCTTCAGTTACTTACTACACCACATGTTATGGTGTTACTGTCTCGTGCTAATACCTAATTATCCTCTGATTTTACTCCTCTATGTTGACTAGGTGTACTTATGTGGGAAGTGTTTACATGCTGTTCAGAAAACCCTTACCAAGGCATGAATAACACACAAGTTTATCAGTACATTGTTGGTGGTGGTCGACTGCATAAACCTGCTGTTTGCCCTGAGAGAATCTATGTTTTAATGCTGGAGTGTTGGCAACATGTAAGTTGTAATAAGCATTGGTTTCAATTTCATTTATTATTCTTATAATGATAATTCAGTTGACGCTTCATTCCGTTCAACGTAAGTAGGAATTATTATTTTCATCCCTTTTTAAGACTTATATACTAAATCCATTGAGTTTGGTAGTTTAAAACTGAGCTGTTGAATGTCATAATTTCTTCACGCTTAGTTTTAATTACTTACTGACGACGTTCATTCTCACCGAAAGTATCTTATGCGTTACTATCGCTTGTGCTTGATTTCATTTTCTAAAGAAGCCCAAGTATCCTTCGTAGCGTAAATACTTCGCTGCCATTTTTGCAGTGTTCACAGTTCATTAATAAGTTCAGCGAGTAATGTTTTAAGCATCTACTTCAAGAATTTTATTACTTCTTGATTTGTCTTGATCTGTGTTAACGTCGTAACTGCCATTGCACTTCTATCTTAACAGTTGGGTAGACGCTAAATGGAGAAGAGTGGCGCTAAGAAACAACTATAGTAACCACTTTTGTAAAGGTTTTATTTTATAACATTAACAACATTCTGGATTACTCAATTTTTTAATTATACTGTGTTGTACTACTGCTGCCAAGTTATAGCATCACTTTTCTCTTTTGTTTTTCAAGGACTCCAGTAAAAGACCAGCGTTCGAATATATTTGCCAGAAAATTGGAGGGTATTTAGATCAAAATTGTGAAAATTAATCACCGTAAACAAGGGGAATTTTGTTGATGGACAACAAAATGAGCAATTGTCTCTGAATGTTTATTGGATAACAATTCTTACATTTCCTTGTTTCTTATAAAGCAAAGGAAATAACTGAGCTGTTTCGTATGTACAATTTACACAATAGAATACTCTCTGCGGAAGTTTATAGAAATTCAAAAGAATCATTTTGTTTGCTCTTCATCGTTTACGAAAACCCACACATTTAATTCGTACACCATGACAACCCCGTCCCTGCTAAGTATCTGCCAAGCATTTGTGTTTGAATCGATATCGTTTTTTTCTCCAGCGATCGTTCAACCTGTGTTGTCCACCATTTTCTACTATCTTTGTCTCCTTTTATGAGTTGTGTTCAATGTTGGGGGAATTTTTTGTTTTGTTTTTTCTCCCTTATTAACACGATTCACCTCATATCCCTTCAGTTTTCAAGATCATAGCAACGCTTTTCTCTCTCATTTAACTGATCCGGTGTTTTTGTTTATTTATTTACTCATTTATGCTACATATAGTTTGTCTTCTGATAATTGACCTACTTCCATGGGAAATTGTATTTTGTTTTAAAATTCTTCCCAGTCGATTATAAAATTCTGCTTGTTGTTGGTGTCTCGTTGTTGTTCTATTTTTTTTGAATTTTTCGAGATAACACAGCATCTGGACGGACACACACACAACTCGATTTATCAGTTCAATATAATTGCCATTTATAATCGGCGTTGCTATTTTCCAGTTAACCAGATAAGATATGCTTCCAGGAGTATGGTTTCCCTTTTTGTTTAGGGTTAAGTGTTGTAAGTGTACCATGTGCTCTCCTGATCCCCTTTGCACACACATATGTACACTTTACTGTTACTCTGTGCCTCTTTGTAACTTTTAATAAAGAGGATACAAACGATACTGACTTTCACACATTTGTGTTCTTCATTCTTTGCTCTTCCCTATATTTTTACACTATATATATATATATATATATATATATATATATATATATGGACTTGTATTTATTGTGTATAGTGATTTTTAAGAATTTATCAATGCGGTTATGAAAAACCTACAACTATAATGATGATGATAATAATAATAATTACTGACATTATTACTACTAGTTTTATTGTTACTACTACAACTACTTCTAACATTACCATCGTTCGGATTATTGACGACGAACATGATTATTTTCTTTGGTTTTCGTTTTCCTCATTCAGTAAACAACTGGTATAACAAATGTGTTATACAAACACATGTTAGTCTCTTATTTCTTTCTATTTTATGCATTTGTTTATACGATCACATTTCATAATAAAATAAAACTAATTATCAACTGATAATCAACTGTCTTCATCTTTCAAGTTTCGTCAAATATTTCCATTTTTGACACACATAATACGCACCAACTGAATGCACTTCATTGTAGTTTAGTGGCTGGTTGATTGATTAACTTCGGCTAAAACGAATCTATCAGTCCAAGACGTCTGAGTGATGAATCAGTATGAAAGAACGAGACAAGTTGTCAATGGATTCATTACGTCATACATTTCCTTCTCTTAAGTAGTTTGGACACAACAGGAACAATAGAATAAAATGAATTTATTTGATTCTATAAATTCTTATCAGCACCACTGATTTAAATCCAATGACTGAGCAGTAACTTACATGCAACGAAATGCCGAATGTCCTGACCTCTGTTCTAAATGGTTTTACATGTAAAATTGATCATTTCCAAATTAGAACGAATCAGCAGTTGAGTGTTTTCTGGTTCCCATTTCTTGATAATTATTATTATTATTTGTCCTTGGATTCCTAATGGAACATAGGGCTTCAGTAGCACGTCTCCAGTGAACTCTGTTCTCTGAAATCTTTTGAACCTGGCTCCACGACAGCCCACAAGCTCTCATTTCCTTCTCGCACGATCTCCTCCATGTCACCCTCATCTGGGACGCCCAACTCGTCGCTTCCCATCGGGATTCCACTTGAGGGACTGGCCTGACGTGTGATATCCCCAGTCGGCCTTCTCAGTGTATGCCCAATCCATCTCCACTTCCTTCTGCATATTTGTTGAGTGATAGGTTCTTGGTTGGTTCGTTGGCAGGCCAGAGTTCCTTGTTACTTATTCTTTCTGGCAATCCATCTAATCTTCAGTATCAGTATCGAGTGAGCGTAGACGGTAGCTGTTGATGAATGTCTGTAGTTTATTGGAAATGCCTTTCGTAACGCGCCAAGTCTCTGAACCATACAGAAGCACTGATTTGACGTTGGTGTAGAAAATTTGGATCTTGTTCCACATGCTGAGTGGGGAAGATCTCCACATTGGTTTCAGGCTAATGAACGCCTGTCTTGCTTTTCCGATTCTGACTTTGACATCCTCGTCTGTGCCTGTGCCGCTACCTGTAGTTGAAACAGTGCTGCCTGCCTAGATAGGTGAAGGAGGTTACTTCCTTTAAGTTTCTCCCGTTGATGGTGATTGAAGTTTGTTGTTGATGGAGTTGTTGGTGCGGTATCTGCATCACTTCTGTCTTCTCTATATTCACTTGAAGTCCCGTTTTCGCTGCCCTACCTCTTCTGTCAACCTGTTAGTTTTCGCCTGTAGATCTTCAAGTTTGTGTGACATCAGACACAAGTCATCGACGAAATCCAGATCTAGGTTCTTTTCAACAGTCTAGTGTATCCCCCTGTTTTCGCTCCCCACTGTTTGTTACATGATCCAGTCCAGTCGACCACAATCAGGAATATCATGGGTGATAGTAGGCGGCAACCTTGTTTCACTCCTGTCTTCACTTCAAAAGCATCACTGATCTGCTTCCCATTGTGAATTACTTGGCTGGCATGTGGCGTCGTCATATAGTTGTTGAATGAGGCTGATAAAGGTTTGTGGTATTCCGTAGTATTGAAGCAGTTTCCAAATTACTTCTCGGTCGACGCTGTCAAAGGCCTTCTCAAAGTGGATGAAGTTGAGGTAAGGTAGAGAGTTGACTGTCATTCTATACTCTGTTCTATGATGATGCGTAGTGTAGCGTTGCAATTTGGTCGGCACATGATTTGTACTTCCTGAAGCCTGCCTGTTCCGGTCGTAGTTTTGAATCCAGTGCATCTTTAAGCCTCTCCAGGATGATGCGGCTTAATATTTTGCTTGCATTGGGTGGACAGGAGAGTGATTCCGCGCCAGTTCTTGCAAACACTGAGGTCTCCCTTCTTCGGGAGTTTGACAAGGTAACCCTTCTTCCGATCAATGGGCAGGTACCTTCTCTTCCTTCCACACCTTCTGCAATAATGGTGTGGTGTGAGCATGTCCGCTGTTGTCTCTGTGTCTGTTTTCAGTGCTTCTGGTATGATCCCATCTGGTCGTGCTCCTTTCCCGCATTCGAGTAGCTTTATGGCGTTAAGGACTTCCACTTTTGTTGTAGTTGTTCAGCGGCTGTGCTGTAGGTGGTATTTCTGGACGTAGTGCAGGTGGTGGTGGTGGTGGTGGTGGATTCAAGAGCTTCTTGAAGTGGTCGGCCCATTGTTTCCTTTGTTTCTCTTCTTTCGTAATTAAATTTCCGTCATCATCTTTTATTGGTTTCGTCTGCGTTGATCTCTTCCCAGATAGCAACCTGGTTATTTGATACAATGTTGTCAGGTCTCTGTGTCTCCCACCTGCAGCCTGTTCTGCTTCACTTGCCAGTGTTTCGTAGAAGTGTCTTTTGTCTTTGCGTGCACTCTTCGTCACTTCTTTGTCCCGTGTATTGTTTTATACATTGTACTCAGTTCCTCATATCGTTGAGCATCCTTGCACTGGTTTATCTTCTGCTTCACCGTCCTCCTCTCCCTGCTCGATCAGCTTCCATGTATCCATCGAGATCCATTCCTTGTCTTCTTTCTTCTTCCTTCCTAATACTGTTGTGCAGGTTTCTTCCCACATCTCTTTCAAAGACTTCTAGTGTTCTTCCACACAGGTTTCTTCAGGGATGTTCCTCGATATCTCCCATTATGTCTTGATGGCTGACCGACGTGAAGATTTCCTTTGTAGTTTCATCCTTCAGTTTCTGAGTGTTGTACTTGAACTGCGGTCTATCACCAGCTTCATTGAAGGCTTTTAACTTGATTTGGAAGTTAGGTTCCTTGCACTAGATAGTGAGTGGTGTGAACCTACATCTGCTCCTCTTCTTGACCTTGTGTCAAGTAGGCTGACTGCGTCTCCATCTCCACTTTCTTGAGATGAGATTGAGTCGATTTTATTTTTAGTGTGTCCATCTGGTAAAATCCATGCTGCTCGCTTTGTGGATATCCTTGTGCTTGAACACACTGCCTGACTCCAATCACCAAATCGTTGAATGCACAGAATTCTGCAAACAATTCTCCATTCTCGTTCATCACCTCACTGAGTGCTTCTCGACCCATGGTTAGTTCTCTTCCTGTGTTGTCTGCTCCCAGTTTGGCATTCATGTCGCCCATTAGAATTTTGATGTCGCCAACTAGGGAGGGGTCTTGTCCAGTGTTGATTGAAGTTGTCTGTAGAATTCCTCCTTCTACTCTTAATCTGCATTATTTGTAGGTGCATAGTGTAGCATTGTATGATTGTGACCTTCCTTACATTTTGAGTTGAACCTTGCTGTCATGATCCGGATCCTGGAGGAGATTGGTTGCCAGTGCATGAGAGCCTTCGATGGTGTTGGAGACATCATGATAGCCACTCCAAAACTCAGTGTGCTGTGCTCGTGGTTGTCGTCTGGGTGACAATGGTGGAGTAGATTATTGACTGTCCAGTTGACAGTTTGGAGAGTCCACTCCCATTCCATGTGCTCTCGCAAATTCCAAGCACTTCAATGTGATACCTTCTCATCTCGTTTTCAATCTGGGCTGCCTTGCTTGGTTCAAACATGGTGCGGACATTCCATGTCCCCACGTTTACTTTCGCTTTCATCGGTTGAGAGAAGACACATTGGTCAATTGGCTTCCTGAAGGCTTTCACCAAGTGGCGTCATTTCGCCTCTCCGATTCCAGTGAGGAATAATTTTGTTTTCATTTTTTATATTTTGTTTGTGCTTTGAAGTTTGTTTAGCGGTTAGATTTGTTTAACGTGGTTGGGTTGCTAGCCCTATGTCCAACCTTCCCTCTTTATCCGGGCTTAGGAGGGGCTAGTAACTAGTGAACTAGTTAACCAGCGAGGTTCCATTACTTGATGGTTTAGGCCAATTTGTTATCAATTATCATTTTAGCTGAAAGAAAGTATTTCAAAAAATACTATAAACTAGTGTGTCGGCAAAGTAAAATTACGTACCGTAATCCAAAATTACTTATTAT